AAAAGTGCCAGAATAAGACACGGATGGAGAGAAAGTGGGGCGAGGTGTTCCCCTGTGCCTTGTTCCTCCCGTGGCCAGAGGCGCCCAGGGAGGGGAGGTAGAATCCCGGCCGGCCACCTCGTGAGTGCTGGGTTAGCACAAGGCTCACCGACATTAGGGTCCAGTAAGTCCTTGGATATAGGGGGTGTTGTAGATTCCTAATGTCCACCCCCAGATGCCCCTAGCATTTCCTCCCCTATCTGTGACCACCAAAGATGTCTCCAGAACACATTGCCAAATGTTCTTCGGGTCACGTGTACCAGGAGCTGTGTCTGTGCCTCATGGTCCCAAGATGTGGGCCACAGCTCCAGACGTGACTCCCATGTTGGGGGCAGAAGGGAGCATGAGGAACCTGCACTAGCTGGAAAGTGAAAGCTTTCGCCCTTGTGGGTCTCCCGGGCTATAGCCCAGTGACACGGGCGGCCCCGCCCGGGGCCGTGGCTGTGTGCACAGGCGGCCCCTTGCTGCAGGGAAACTGAAACCCAACTGTGCTTTCTGAAGTCTTTTGTGGGAGCAAGAAGGAAGCAAAGCCAGGGGACTGCCGTCATCCAGCCTGGGGCCCCACTGCCCCAGGGCTTTTGCAAACGCCCCTGTCTCCACCAACACTACCAGCCCTGCCGCTGGCCCTGTCCAGCTGCTCATTGGAGGTGACAGACGATGGCCGATTTTAGACTTTAGCTTAGGCTGTCACTTAACTGCTACCCAGCTGACAGCTTTTTGTTTTGCGCCAGTCCTGGAGCTTGAATTCAGGGCCTGGTACCGAGCTTTTGTGTTCAAGGCTAGTGCTCTACCACCGCTCCGCTTCTGGCTTTCTTTGGAGATGAGAGTCTCAGGGAGTTTCCTGCCCAGGCTGGCTTTGAACCTTAATCCTCAGATCTCAGCCTCCGGAGTAGCTAGGATTACAGGCCTGAGCCACTAGGGCCCAGAAAGCTGAGTTTTTACAGGTGGGAATCCCCTGATGTCTAGTTTGTGTGCAAATCCTGCACACCCCCCTCAGGCCTGCCTCTGGCTTCCTTGTGGTCAGTCCTGGTGGCTTAGTCCCTGCCTGGCCCCCAGCCTCTCCAGCATCTCCCAAACCCTGAGACAGGATCTGCCTGAGGGAGACAAGGGAGCCCCGACAGGAAAGGGACCCTACTCAGCCCCAGGCCACAGTCCTGACCATGTGACCCCTGCTAGAATGTTCCTCTGCTTACAGGAGGGCTGCCGAGACCCTGGCTCCCGGGTGCCCCCACAGCCTGCCGGAGCCACACATTCAAGGCCCTGTGACAACTGCCACCTCATTCCCAGCCAGCTGTGGACTTGCACGGGCCCAGGGCTAGGGGAACCTGGAGCTCGAGCCATCCTTAGCTCGTGCCATCCTGAGCTCGCCTCCCTCCCTAAACCCCTTTGCTCATCTGCGGAAATGAGTTGGGGCTGACTGTCCTCTACCAAGGGGTGGTCAGGCCAGCTGCTGTGCCCAGCCTGGCCTGCACTGCCCATCAATGCATCTCCCCAACCCCGAGCTCCACCACAGCACCCAGAGCTGGAGACCTGTCCTCTTGCAATGCTGCTGAGGACAAGATGGGCTCCTGGGTCCGGCCGGCCAGCCGCTGACCCCGGTAGCCACCCTCTGAAAAGCCAGTTGGTGTGTCCACTTGTGGCAGTGGATGGTGCAAGGGTGAATCGCTGAGACATGAGTCACCAGTCCCGGAGCTGGCACTGCCAGGCAATGGGTCCTTCTTATGAGAGACGGGGGAGAATTCGCAATCCCACCTACCATCCCACGTCAGAGGCAGAGGCCTCAGGATCACGATTCACAGCCGGCCAGGGCAGGAAAGCCGAGGAGACTCGTCTCCAATTACCCAGCAAAAGTTGGAAGTGGAAGTGTGGCTCAAGCAGGAGAGCACAAGCCTTGACCAAAAAAACTGAGAAACAGTGCCCAAGCCTTGAGTTCAAGCACCAGCACGTGCACATACGCATACACAGCCAGCACACACGCACACGCACACAGCACACACACACAGCACTTGAAAAAGTACTCACTAAATGGCGGAAGTCGGAGCTGTCGCAGCCCTGGCTTTCTGTTCGTTGTTCTCTGCGCCCAGGGTGGCCCCATCTGCCCCCAGCCCCCTGAGTGCCCCTTCGAGGGGCACCGGGGCCACGGCACCGCCCACCTTGCGCCCAGCTAGAGCTTTCTCAGGAAAGCAGCAGAATGCCCCCCCCACGCACCCTCGGACCCCTGGAAGGATCCCCGGTGCAAATCCGGGCCAATAATGCTCCTGTGGGAAGTGCCGGGTGCGGGCTGGGTGGGGGCCGAGGCAATGCCCCAAAGGGACGCGGTCGGGGCCTGGGCCACAGTTTCAGACCACCGGGCCCTACTCTCCCGTGCCCTCAGCGTCCACAGTGCCTGCCAGCACGCCCCCAACCCCCACTGCGTGCCCCCTGACCCCCACAGCCTGCCCCCTGACCCCACCGTGTGCCCCTGACCCCCACAGCCCACCCCCTGACCCCCACAGCATGCCCCCTGACCCCACAGCCCGCCCCCGACCCCACAGTGCCCCCACTTACCCCACAGCGTGCCCCTGACCCCCACAGCCTGCCCCAACCCCAACAGAGCACCCACTGACCCCCACAACATACCCCCTGACCCCACAATGCACCCACTTACCCCATAACCAGCCTGCAACCCCACAGCACGCCCACTGAGCCCACAGCCTGCCCCCAACCCCAACAGAGCGCCCGCTGACCCCACCCCACAGTGTGCCCACTGAGCCTGCCCCCGACCCCACTGTGCGCCCCTGACCCTGCAGCATGCCCCCGACCCCACAGCGCCCCCCGACTCCTGCCCTCCTCAGGGGCTGTTCCTCAGGGTGGGGTGGGAAGGGCCATGGCCTCTGGTGGCCAGGGCAGTTGTAGGCCACATGTTGGCCACCCTGGCCCCAGCCTGCCCCAGTTGCCCTGCTGGGTGTCACAGAGGGCAACTGAGTCCCTGGGAGAGGGTCCCAGCTGGTCCAAGACCACGTAGCTTCCCCCTTCAGAGCCTCCAGTGGGTGCTACGGGGACGCAGGGGATGCAGGGGGCTTTGGGGGGCACAGGGGCATAGGGGATGCAGGGGGCGCAGGGGATGCAGGGGGCGCAGGGGCCGGGGCGGCTCCCGGTGGTCTCGCCGTGGCGCGGATTCGCTCAACAAGCACTGTCCTCCAACAAGCACTGTCCTCCCCAGGGAAGGGTCAGGTGTCCCCAGGGGAGGCCTGATCGCAGGTGATAGGGGAGGCAAGGGTCAGACCCCGGACGGAGCTCAGCTTGGAAGACTGGGGGTTCCCTTCCCAGGAGGCCGGGGTGGGGTCCCCACCGACTGCCGGGCCGGGCCCATCTCGCTGGAACCGGCCCCGGCCCTACGGCTGCCTCGCTGCCCACTGCCCGGAGCCAGGGGTGCGGCTCCCACCTGGTCCCGGGTCGGGAGCGAGCCCCCTTGGAGCTGCAGGTCCCCAGTGCACAGGAGCCGAGGAGGGGGTGAGGCCTGCTCACCTCGGAGCGGGGGTCCGGGGGTGCCCGCCCTGGCCAGGGCACTCTCCAGGCCTTTCGAACGAGAGGCCGGCTTTACGCGGTGCTGGCCGGGGAGGTCTCGTCCCCTCGTCCCCCTTTTCTGTGGCTGGGGACACGGAGGGGGTGGGATCTCTCTGCGTGTCTCCCCGAAGGTGGGCCCACGGGGGTCGCCAGCACCAGTGGCGGCGGGGCTGCGCTCGGCCTCCCCCAGCGCGGGCGGCTCCGAGATCGGGTCCCGTCCCCGAGGCCGGGTGCGGCCTGTGCTGCGCGTGCAGGGGGGGCCACATGTGCAAGTGACCCGAAATCCGATCACCCTCCCTTAACGCGGAGCGTTGCTGTTCTCAGGCAACCCCGGGATTAGACTCCCTCTCGGGCGTCCATCCCCGACAGCGCTCCCTCCGGGCGGGCGGGGACACGGCTCCAGGCCCGGCTTGAGGCGCGGGCCAAGTGGGCGCGGGGTTGCTGCAGAAAAGCCCGCTGGCGGGAGGCGAACTGCTGCCCTGTGCTCCCTCCCCGCCAGCGCTCGCTCTCCCGCGCGCCCCTTCACCCCCACGTCCCCTTCCCAGGACCCCTCGCCTCCATCACGCCCCACCGCGCCCTCCGCCCCTCGCGACCCGGCCGGGCGGGGCCGGGACTACACTTCCCGACGGGCCCCCGCGCGCGGAGGGG